GTCCCCCTTATACATTATAACAGGTTGAAAACCATACATGTCTGCATTCTCATATTCACTTGGGTGATTATACTACAGTGCTGGAATTCAAGCTTCATCTGTTGCCTATCTTGCACCTTTACTAAAGACACAAAGTTAAACCGGCCTCGCTATGCTTTGTGTACCCTCTCGTAGGGATCTTTCTGGGCAACATTGACACAGGTACCTTGCAGCAACCTCATGGGCACTATTCATAGCAGTTCTGGGTGTTTTGGGCAGTGGTTAGTTACCATATATAGAGGAGAGCTGAGTTTTGATGAGTTCTGTAGTTTTTGTGGAATTGCCCTTGCCTTGTGTCACTGTTAAAGGTGTGAGCTCCGCGTCTCACACCGCCTCGTCCTGCCGGCATGGTTTGCATCGCCCAGTGTTACACGGTTGGCCTGAGCATCGTTGCTGCTGCTGGCTGATGGTGCAGAGCATCTGGAAAATGGGCTTGCAGAAAGCTCCTCTGTCCCTGGCTAACACAGTGTTGTCACTGAAAACTGGACTTCCCTGCTGGTCATCCCCTGACATGAGATATATAATGAGCCATTGTCAGGAGCAGGATTTCATTGGTGCCCTGGTTGCTGGAAAACTGAGCTGCTTTAACTATTATATGAAAATCTGCAATTGAGTTGTGAATATCTGTGTTTATTCAACACAGATACAACGTTATCAAAGTGTGAGGAAATAAACAGAGGTAAAGAAAGAGTGTTTTCTTAATTTAAGAGTCAGACTGCAGTTACATGAATACTTAAACTCAGGCAGAAGCCTTTAATGATAATGGTAGTGAGTGCTGTGTCATTAGAGTGCAAGTCTGATCCATCTGCTTGATAATGGCCTTGTTATTCCAGTCGTTCACTCTGGCTTGACTCAGAACCTTCATATGACTCAGACAAGCTTGGATTGAGGCAAAATTTTAAGCTCCTGCGTGTCTCAGGAGATGAATGAGGTCACAGTAGTCATTTGCCAGTACGGTTATTTTTAGGGTGCTGGCTTGTTCCATGTGTTCACCTTGCAATCCTATATGCAGCAACCACCTTTCTTGTCGCGTGCTATATCTATCTATATCTGAAAGATTCATTTCTCTGCTCAGTAATACTTAGTTTAAATGGTCTATTAGCTTACCAAATTGTCAAGAAAAGTGTCATCTCTGGAAATGTTTACTACAGAAGCAAAAACAGCTAAATTGTATTGTTTCACTTTTACTGATAATTTGACAGTTTTATGTTGATCTAAGGGAGGCCAAGTAATTACATATTGTCACAGAGATAATGTTTGTGGAGTCTAATAATATTATGGGATAAATAAGCCAGGCTTCATAACATCTCTTTTTCTCTGTGGAAGTTTTAGGATATTTTTCTATACTCAAATAGGTTTTTCCTCTATATATGTAGTCCAAATTGTTTGCCCATATATACCTCCTTTTACAAAATACAGCAGTTCTTCCAGGTTAATGCAGCAGATGTTCAAGCATCTCTCTGGAGATGTAGGTATAAACCCAGTTTTTACCTCTGTATTAACGTAGTTGTATCTGAGGCAGCTGCACAGTTCCGTTCTGCTGTTGGAAATTTTGACTGTGACACTGGACATAAAAGGGCTTAGTGATGAAGGTCTGTATTCCCTATATTCCTAAGAAGATGGAGAAATACCTTACTGACAGTGTTTGCATTCTGGTTAGGAGAGGTACGTGGAGCTGGAATGACACGGGGAGTACCCATGATAGGAAGACAGGAGAAGAGGTGGCGTTGGGTAGATGCTCCCCCTGGGCTCGCGAGTTCCCAGTGGGAGCTGTGGAGCACCTCAGCATCAGGAGCTACCTAAACTAACCCTGTGTTCCTTTGGCCATGGATTTAAGATGCAGCCTTACAGCACAGCTCTCAGTGCCTGGATGTCCAGTATCATGCCAGCACATGCATGTGCTTCTTAACACTGAGCAAGTCAGTTGAGGAGACAGAGGAGACAAAATGCAGATGAGGCAGAGTTAATGAGAAGCCTGGGAGGAGCTTCTCCGCTGCGGCGCGGGCTGCAGCGGCCTGCTCCCCGGGCAGGCCTGGCGCCCAGCTGCTCGCGGGGAAGCTCTCGCTTGCTCTCGGGGAACATCAGGTCACAGCCATGACGGCAGCCCCGGAATGTGGAGCCACACTCTGCCACCCAAAGGCTTGTATTCTCTTGTGATTAGGGAGCGTAATTAGAAAGTCTGTGTTCACTGGAAGGAAACTGCTTTGGTCTATGTTCTGCTATGGATTAAACTGCAAACCAAAACGTCATCATGTTTTGACTAATTGGTGTTGAAGCTTTTCACAAAACGTCAAAACTTGAAGTGAGACCACAACAGAAAATTAAAATGCGGTAAGTACATGTCTGGTATTTAAAACCAAAAAAAATCCAAACACTCAGATGGATAGATCTAAGGGGGAGGAAATTACCAAACACAGTTGCTTGAGTTCTGTAAAATGAAATTTGAGTTCAGTTTTTTAGAGTACATGTGGACTCTATTTGAAAACATTTTGTGCCCAGGCCTGAGAGCAAAAATAGGAAAGATGTGGCTGCAGAAAAGCTCTGATGTTCAGAAAACAGTATAGATCGTGGATCAAGCCTCAGAAAGAAGAACTAAAGGCAGGATCCCCGTGTAGTAAGTGCATATTTTGGTACGGAGTTGAATGAGTTCCAGCAGTCTCACCAAGCTTTGTCCCAACTGGTTCCTGCCAACCACCAAGGCCTTCAGTTCAGGACTACAGCAGTTCAGGAGTGCTGAAGTGAAGGCAGAATCTTTCAAAAGGACAGATCCCATTTCAGTACCAAGTGGGATTTTAATTAATAAAAAAAAAAGGTACAGTTTAAGGCTCTGACAAATAATCGACCAACAAATGTGCTGACCTCTTGCCCATAGGCCTTTGTATTGGGGAAGGGGAAAGGTTTATCCTGGGTTGTTTTCTTATAACCTGCTAAAGAATAACAGAGCCGAGCTCTAGTGTAACCCAGCTAACATTGTAACGTGAGCGGTTGGAAGGAACTGCCCCAGGAGAGGCTATGTGCTGGAGGTGGCGTGGGGCTGTGGGCGGCCAGAGCTGCTCCATGCAGGGCTCTAGGGACCCTTTTCCTTAGCCCTTTGTTCCCAGGCATCTTCTCCAATGTCCACATGACGTCTGTGATTTTCTGTTCCGTTTACACCTGTTTTGTGTTAACAGCCAACAAAAGCTGAGGCACGACCAGGAGAATTTGTCATATTATTGTGACTGCAACGCAGCCGCAGTCGGATGCCGATCCATCATGCGTGAGTGGCTGGCTTGTCAGATACTGCAGGTTGTGCATACATATCTTGTTGCTGAAAGCAAGTTAAAATCATCCTCAATTTGCGGGTGGATTAAGGAGTGTAATAACATGCCCTTGCTGAAAGCTATGAAGTGGCCCATTAGCAAATGTGGTCGGGTTGTTTCATTAAGCTGCTTTAAAGTCACCACTTTTGTAGTTCTTGTAACTCAAGGAAAGGAGGATGGAGTAAGATAAGTTCAGGTGCCATCCTGAACCTCCCTTAGATTTGGGTCAAGAAATGGTCACCGAATGATCACAGGATTCCAGAGGAGATTTCCAGAGAAACAGAAACAAACCCTGACTGCTTAATGCTCTTCTCCTTGAAAAAAAAAAAATGTGTCTTCCTTAGGAACTTCATTCAGTATTACTTTTCAAAGTAGAGCTAATCCAGTTCATGCTGATATTGGAAATCTGGAAATTTAAATAATATTAGTAATTAATATTTTGTATTTCAGTTTATCTCATAAATGAGCTATTGTCTATAGTTGACTAAAAAGTCAATCAGGAAATGTAACAATAAGGGAAGGACTCAGCGCTATTTTGAAAAGCTGCTCTGACTTCCAGCTTATGTCAATTACTTTGTTCACTTTATACATTTTTTGTTCTAAAACAGCAGCACTGAAAAAATACCTGATTCCAGCAGATTCTTATCTTATTTTTTCCACACGTATTTTAGTCTCCAATTTAGCTGAAGAAACCTGGAAGGTTTTAAAGAAAGTTGTTTAAGAGAAGGAACATACACATTTCATAAGTTGCCTTCTGTCCTGTAGGGCAGACAGAGCCTGCCAAGATTCTGGGCTAATTTTTCGAAATAACTGGTCGGCCTCAGGATCTGTTTTCTGGATGATTTCTTCTGAGGTAAAAGAGGAATAACGGATGGGATCAAAATGAACAGGAAACTGCTGTGGCCTGTGACCAGTCGGATACTTGGAGTTCCAGCTTTGGCAGCAGTGACTGTGCTGAGCTTTGCTGCTGGACTTCACTTACAGCTTGGTATTTTGTGGCATCATTTAAATTATGCACCAATACCGAGCAGATTTCAGTGCATTCACATGCACTTTGCAAAGCTGCACAGGTAATTTTTTTCAAGCTTTGTAATTCTGAAACCATGTTGTTGTGGCAAACCCTCCAGTACTGGCACGGGTGCTGGCACAAAGGGAAAAGTTAACCCTGTTTCAAACTCTGAAGGTCCTGCCTGCAAAGAGCACAGTATTTGAGCATTTCACTCAGAAATGTGGAAAGCTAACATTTTTTTTCATGGAAACAGAAGTCCTGAAAACGTCAAAGCAAGCGGCCACCATGCCCTGGAGAGAGGGAACGCCAGACTGTGCAGTGTCCTCAGGGGTAGGTGCTGGCCAAAGGGGAACCAGAACCAATGCGGCGCTGCAGTAATTTCAGCAAACCAAAATCTCACATAGGACTGTGCCGGAAAACAACTCTTTTGTCCTGCTGTTCTTGGCCGAGCGTAGAGAAACGCAGCGAGGCTTTGAGCAGGCGGGGGCCACCGTGGGCCATGCAGCACCCAGCACAGGTGTGGGGCCCACACAGCTGCAGGCCGTTATTAGGCACTGGCCGAACAGGGCCTGGCCGGGCATTGTTCTCCTCTGAGGGGAGGGTGGGGCAGTGCAACCTTCTAGATGCTGACCTAGCTCAAAGACACCTGGCCCTCCCATTCCTGTTAGCCAAAGGAAAAGAGGTGGCTTGGGCTTCTGCATAGAGGGGAGAGTGGCTCTAGGCAGGAGCTCCTATGAGGCTGCCTCCTTGCAGGTCTGGCTGGGGTTGAATGCAGGGGACCTGTTGGGTCCTGCCTTCCTCCACTGAAGGCTCATTTCCTTGGGGCCTCTGCTGTAGCCTCAGCGACTGAAAGGCTGTTGGAGGACTGTTTGCAGATTGTGTCCTGGGATGGGTGAGTAGGAGGCTTGACAGGCTGTGGGATGCTGATGTTGATGGGTAGCATTGAGACTGAAAACTAGGAGCATCTACAAGACCTCTAGACTCTAGCCTTCTGCTTGTGTAGCTTTGGTTCTTGTTGTGCAAAAGGCCTCCTTACAGACCTAGGAGTGTGAGAGAAACTTGATAATTAATGTTTTTAAAAAAAAAAGTTCCTTTAGCAGAGAGTAATGGGATAAATCTAAGATTTGATAGCCGAATGTTTTTTTTGCCTCAGAAGTGCTTCTAATAGGAGCTCTTCCCTTTCTTCCAGCAACATTCAAACTAGCAGTTTCTGAGTTTAGGGTTCAGAATCTGTTGTTGGTACAGGCTGGAATCTGGTTGTTCTTGGTCTCAAGCCAATACAATATTGGGGGTGAAGTACTTTGTAAAATTCCGTGGAAACTAATATTTCTCTCTAGGGAAAATGGGCAGAACCATTTTCCTCTTTTTCTGCTGAACTGTACTGGAATGCTTAAATCTGGGCACTCTCATTAGAAAACTCTTAACCTCTAATCTCTATAAAAACATTATTGTCAACTTTGTAGTAGTTCTTCATTCCCAGATGGGTGATGTTGTGAATGGAAAGGACTGATCCAGAAGGAGGTGATTTATTTAAGGAAGGTTTAGACTTAATGTCGCTGAGTGTCCGTGGCCTATCCTTCCCCCGAGGGCCTCTGCTCACAGGTGGCTGGCTTGGAGGACACGAACAGTGCACGCAGAAGCATCACGTGCTTGTTCTTGAAAGGTTAAATTTGTTTAAAAGAAAATATTCCACAGATGTGCAAGGGATCTGGTACAAAGGGCCAGGCAGGGGCTGGTGCCAGAACAGGTGGCAGGTACCATCACAGCACTGATGTTTGCTGCAACACCCAGAAACTGGCAAGGTTTTGTCTCTGCTACCTGGCTTATGGTTACTGTGAGATCTCCCTTGAGAGAAGGAGAGCAAAATGGATAGAAATTAGCAGGTAACTTAGTTCAGAAGAAAGATACGTGGCCCTGAACGTGACAAAGGGGAGGTGGCAAGCCAGCCCACTGCTTACAGCCCTCTTGCTGCTTTCAGCTAAAGTGCAGACTTCACTTGAGGCTCTCTTGCCGCAAATGTGGACTTAAGATAAGTGGGGAGCAAAAAGAGGAGCTGTAACTTGCTTTTATTCTTTTGGAAAGCAAACTTACATAGCTGAAGATCATGCACCTTCACATGTGCTTTCATGCATATCTGCCTATGGCACAGAACAGTAGTCCTTCTGGGCAATAGGTCTGGAGCTGATGAGCCCAGATGCTCTTGCTCTGTCTGTTAAGTTTGGGGTCAGTGTTGTTGCAATTGATTAATACCTAAGGAGGGGAAAAAACATCAGATCGTGGTTCACACATCTTGAATTCTGCTTGCAGTGAACAGTACTTGAGGGTCTGTTGCAAAAACTAGTATTGCTTGCTAAGATGAATTTGTGTCTGGGATTAGACTGTGAGGTGCTGGAAGGCTGCAGAATTTGCCAGAGAATCATCATCTTAAGGACACTTTTGGGTTTAGGCATAAAAGTGCAACATAAGTATAAATACTTAACTTGAATGGTTCTGTAAAACAGCATGGGAGAATGGTAGGAGTGTGGCCCGCTGCCTTGGGTTTTGCTAAAGCTTAACAGAATATGGGTGTCATTACACTCTGTCAATCTACCGCTGATTAAGCTTGGTGAAAATATTATTCGGCTGACGAAAGCTTCTTATCCAACAAGCATTCAAATGGCTTCTTGGAATGACTTGCCGCTATTTCCCCAACACTCTTCATACCTTATTTAGGAGAAATTTGATGAGCTACTTCTGAAAATCTACAGAGGGTATATTCATCAGTGGATTAAGCCTTAGCCCTTGCGATGATCAAATCGGATAAATATTGAATAAAAAGAGGTGCAAAAACTGCTTCAGCTTCTCCAGCCTCAGCAAAGAAGCTAGAGCTATGGCATCCAAAAACTGGAGTATGTGGGAGTGTTGAAAGGGGAAAGATACTGCCAGACAGATCTGAAGAGGCATTTGGCCACATGTGGTGGTTTTTGTGTAGCATAACCACACAAGCTGTTTTCTCCTCAAAGATTCAGTATGGAGTTGGGATCCTGTTGCTGTAGCAGAAATAAAAGGTGTTACATAAGGTAAAATACTCTGCTGTGCAGTGTCTTGTAGCTACCTTCCCTTGTGTGAGAGAGAAAGAAGGAAACAAGCTACCAAGAAACCTTTTCAAACTGAAGTGCTGTGTTAGCTGTGCTCTACATACAGCTAATGAGATGACAGTAAGACATATTTTCAGCCTAATTGGTAGGACAAGTCAGACATGATTAGAGGGCCCAAGTGTCCTCTAATAGAGGGAGCACAGAAAGGCTGAGCAAGGCTTGCAGTGGGCAGTGCTGGGCACTGATGGCATCTAAGATGAGTGGGTATGGGCTGAGCATGGCCAAATGAATGAGGTGCCTCTTGTGGGTGCCAGAGGGTCCTCCCTCAAGTTTAGGAGGAGACTTCTGATTTATAGCTTGTATTTATGGCTTGCTGTAATGCACGGGTGCTCTGCTCTGTTCAGAGCAGCAACAACAGTCCTGCAATCTTCTCCTAGCTGAAACGTGTGCCCCAGGGAGTCTGATGGTTTACTTTCTTGCACTTTTCCCTGTTTTCCTGTTGCTGTTCTCTTGCTTTGCCTTCTTTTTAGTGCAAGTATGCTCCTGGTGCTGAAAGAGCTAATTGCAGTGTTGTGCAACTGCTGGAGATTTTGGTTTCTTCCCTCCTTGTTTAAGGAGGAGACAGGCTTGTAAATATTCATCTTTGAGCTATGATTATGCCATAACCACAGAGGCTACAGCCATCTTTCCATAATATGCTTTGGCAAGGCTGAGTTGATTAATGAAGCTAGAAGGATCAGGATGAAAACTCGGAGCAACTCCCATGTTACACTGAAATATCTCATTTAAATTAGTACCTCTAAAATATGTAGTCTGCTTTAAATTTAGACCCAAAGGAGAAAATGTGCTGCTACTTGTACATGCAAGTTGTCTGATTTCGCCAGCAAGCTGAGCAGGACTCTGCCAGTGACAGCAGCAAGAACTTTTGAACACGGGCTGGGGGAGCCAAGTGTTTCTAGTGTCGTGCGAAGGAATCGGGCTGCTCAGGAAGTGACCGTGATGGAGCACCAGCACCCTGAGAGCCTGTCAGTGTTGCCTAATGCTGGCCCTTTAAGAAATGCTGTGTTGATGTAATGAGTTCTTGAAGTAATGACTTTTTAATGTGTTTAAGGGGAACAGGACCACCCTCATCAGCTGCTGTTTTATTTTCAAAAGCAGTTATAATTACCGAAATATTGATTTGTTGCTATGAATCACTCAGTTTTTGTGGCCAAGGTATCACAGGCTCTCTACAAAGCCATTAATTTTAGTGGTTAGGCCTCAAATGTTCTTCCCCTTTTTGAAACAGTTTGGCAGCTAAACGGAGTGTAAACATATCAGTGCATATTTTCCTACTGGAATCAGTGTCCTGGTAGCTGCAGTGTAAAGACTGTGAGACTCTATATGTGATAGTGCCTATAAGGCTGGGTCTGCTATAAGCGCCGAGGAGCCTGGCATGTTGTCCTGACTGTGGGGAGAGCTCCTGTCCCGTCTCATGTCCTGGCTTGCTGGGCTGGCTGGTGTCCCCATACCTGCGTGGGGAGCTGCCCTCTGCTCTTCCTTGCTGGAGCCCTTTGGAGAGCCCATCTGTGACAACAGCACCCCAGTGCTGGTAAGGACACAGCATGCAGGGTGGAAACTAACTGCTAGGTGATAAAGAAAGGAGAGTGGCTGTATCTTGGTAGCTGGTACGAATGCTTCTAGTTTGCTTCTCAACTTTTCCTTTAAGTCCTCTGTGAGATTTCTAGTATTTCATGCAGAGTTGTTAGTTGACTGTGCTTGGGCAGGCCTGGCTCCAGCAAAGCACTTAGGAATGTGCAGTTAAGTTAAACACAAATGTAAAGACTTAGCTTGAAGGAGTTCTTAATACTGCCAGGACAGTGTCTAATGTTTCATACATCATTGTGTGTCAGACTTGATTTTCTGAAGTGATTAGTGCCTGAAGAAAGCTGCTAAAGTTTCTGATTTCTGGAAGGTAGATACTTTTCTTAAGAGGTGTTTCAAGCTGAACATACATGATCTAAGCCCTCTGAAATACTCGCTTTCAATTTCTTTTGGCTGGGAAAGGCCAGAGGGGGAGGCAGCCAGAAGCTGCTCCAAAACCTGGTGTTTCACAGTAAACTCAAACTGTGCAGGAAAACATTCTCTTAGTAGAAGTAGCAGCTGAATCTAATTCTGAGGATGAGCACAGCTTCATTATTTGATGATTTTGGCTCTTCTTTAAATCAGCATGTAAAAGTCCTGCATTTCCTGAGTCTTTGTAGTCTGCAGGGATGAGCTTGGAACGATGTGGATATTTTGCTGTCAAGTCTCCTTTAGCTTATTTCCTAAGTGTACTCAGAGTCTGTGGAAATAAAGGAATTTTCAACTGATAATTTTGAACAAATCGATCATGAATTGGTACTTTATTTACGAAACCTCTTTTCATGTAGAAAGCTGTTTTGGACATTGGAATATGGTTAGCATGGCTTAGAAAGGGAATGTGCAAGAAAACCATGCCACCTGCAGGTCCTGGCGAGTGTGGCATTGCTCTGCAAAGCTTCCAGGATTGGCAAAATTGCTGGTGTGCTTTTGGGGCTCGTTTGCAGGTGATCAAAATACATATGCTCAGTGGGCCTTCACACTTCCAGCAGGTGAAAGGCATGAAACCTAATCAAGACTAACATGGAGGATCTGGAAGAACAGCCTTGGTCATCAGGTGTAAGTGAAAATGACCCTGCTGAGTAGGCTTGGAGGAGTGTGGATTGCTGCTGCCCTCGCTGAGAAGAGGTGTCAGGGGTACAGGCTGGAAGTGAGTAGCTTTGGGCTCCTGGTGTGCACATTAGCCTAGTGCCTTCAGCATCAGGCTCAAGTCTCGCAGAATGTCAGAGGGGTAAAAAGATAGGGCTCTGCTTCTGGTAAGGGCTCCTTGGTCGGTCTGTATATTCAGATTTTTGATAACCTAAAAACTTGGCAGTGAGCAATTGCCTGAACCTCAGGACTGTCATGTTGTAAAAACACTATTGCTGGAAGCAAAAGCTGCTCGTCAAATCTGAAGGTACTTACAAATAAACCTTGACAACAATGAGGAAAAAGCACAGATGGGAAATGACTTAAGGAGAACAAAACAAAGTAACGAAAGAAAGCATGTGCTGCTAATTACCTGTCAGTCTGATTTCTGAAGTAATTTTTCATCCATGAGCTATGTGGTCAAGTATAGCTGCAAATCAGGAGTGTACATTCTAGCTTGTGGGCATGTTAAATACAGGGAATTGACGTTATGTCACTGCTGCTACAGGTCTTCCATTTATAATCTTTCTTTAGCTCAGGGAGTGCTGCTGGAGCTGCATAGTTCATCATAAATCGTAATTGCATAAAGATGATGTGCTGGAGCTCCCCAGACTCAATTCCTACTTGTAATTGTCAGAAGCAAGAAGACTCGGCACAATTCTCTGGTATTAATTATGTTAGACTTTTTGGATTCTCCTCTTCTTTAAAGACTTAATTCTTGGCGTTTTAAGAGAGGGCAGTGCAGAGGAAGACGAGGGTAGAGGTAACTTGTTTCTTCAGCATTTCTAATCAAAAGCCCATCTGTGTACTGAGACTGTCCGTAACTTTCAGTGGGAAAGGTCCTAGTGTAGTTTTTGACCTGTGAGACTCTTCCTCTCCCTTGCATGGTCTTGCAGTGACCGTGGTTGTGTGTGGCAGGAGGCAGCAGAACCAAGAATGTCCCACTAATTCCAGAAAAATCCTGGATCAGATGTATAGCTCTCCTGGAGTCATCTCATGCATGGGGATGTGTGGTTTGTGCTCTGGGCTAGTGCAGGCTGTTCCTGACATTCCCATTGTCCGACTCTTCCCTTGCCTGATCTAAAGTTTGGCTTTGGGGCAGCTGTTGTTGGGAATGGTGAGGGCAACAGGGATGAGTGTCTGTGCACAGAGGAGCTAACCTGCAGCTTGTGCAGGCGATGGGATTCTCTCTCCTGTACCATGTGTGTAAACTCACTGTAGGATATATGATATCTAAATAAGCCAGAGGGAGCCTGTAGTCAAAAATGAATGTAAATAATAACTCGACCATGGCCAGAAATAGAAAAATTGATTTTTTTCCTTGAATTTTTGCACTTGGCAGTTCTGCCTGTAGTGGTTCAGCCTTACAGTGTGCAGGGGCATCACGTTCAGTTACTCTCACTTCTTGATGCCTCTTTTCATGAATCCTGTCGGTACGTGGTATTCTGTCTGCTTCTGTGTGTCCCCTGAAATTTGACTAAGGCTTCTAGGTTAATTGAAAAGGACAGATCAATGCACAAAGTGATTGTGTACAAACCTCGCTTTTGGAGGCATGCAGGCTGAGAAAATGGGAATAGTCAAATGTAAACAGACATCTCCTTCTCCTCACTGCTGTTTCATCAAGCACTGCATGTGTGGGACTGGCGAGAGAGCCCCTGCATAGTGGCAGTCGTGCTCCTCAAGCCGAGTGATAATATGCAATGTTTATTGTATTTGCTTCAGTGCTCAAAAATTGTTTTGCCTGAGAGTTGTACTCGGCTTGGCCCCTGGAGGGCACCAACAGCCAACATTACATTTTTTTCCACCTATCTTCTAGCTATTACCCACTGCCATAGAGCACTATGAAGATGGCAAATGTAGCCCTGTGTAGAGATTAAATTGAACTTGTCTTGCCTTGCATAATTTGGAAATTCAAAAGACCAATTTCTTAGTGTAATTGAAAACCACTACATTTCAGACTTATTCATTGAATTGGTATTTCCAGTTAGAATTCAAATTAATCTTTCTACCTTTAAACAAGGCAACAAAAGTGTAGTTATATTTACTCAGCTTTTTAACAATCAGGTTCAGTGTAGCTGTGTATGATTAACTACACATGCACAATTGCAAAAGGTTAGTAGGGACATGATTCAAGTCACAAGGGAAATTAATCTCCTAAGGCTTGAAGATCTGAACTGGCAGTTCAACGCTCAGCTTGATGCCAGATCCTCTCTAGAAGGGAAAGGTAGAAGGAAGGAGGAGAAAAGAGAAATGGGCAGCACAATGCAAGAGGAGGGCTATGTTGAATTGTATGTACTTATTATTTTCAGCTTATTATTTTAAATTGTGGTACTGTCTTGCATTAATGTGATTTTTACTAAATTATTCCACTGCCTGTCAAAAATGACACCTGAGTGCATTTGTAGATCACATCTGAATTCTGTGCTTGCCAATCAGCTGTACACAAAGTATGAGACTTATATGGAGCAAACCCTGCTTTGCATCACCAGCTTCTGATGTGCGAGTGGGTAAAGTGGCTGTTTAAAATCCCTAATTCTGTAATATCAACAGGAGGGTGTTAAGAGCTCCCATCTTATAAAGAGAAGTCTAGTGGAAGGTTTGACTAAGTACCACCTAAATTTTGGCACCGAACTGAGACTCTGTGGTTTGACTTCATCTTTGGAGGGGTCTGATCTGACTCTTGGCTTCATAGATGATATAAGGAGTCAGAGCTCCTAAAGTTGAAGCAAATTAAACTGCACCTACAGGACTAAATTTTCATAAAATTTAATTTGATTGATTTTTCAGGCTAGTGGCTGAATGTTGAAATGTGTCAATTGAATCCTCAATGAGCCAGTGGAGCTACTAACTACAGGCTTTAGTGATCTCCCCATGACTTACCTGAGCTTGGTGTGCAAGTTGTGCCTTTCTGCAAGCTCTGCTCCAATTCCAACATGAGTTAATTTGGGGAAGTCTCTCTGGTCTGTGCTATACAGGAGGTTGGTCATTGTGAAGAATTGGACTTTTTCTTAAATCTGCTGTTATAAAAGGGAGGTTGCATGAGGTCACAGCAGAGAAGTTGCAGAAGAGGAGCTGCTCTGCTGTGCTATCTTTCTAAGAGAAGGTGCTGAATAAGTTCGTGTGCCCAGCAGTGTGGGGCTGTTTCCGTAGCTGTCAGATGGTGCTTCAGGGGACCTGATATTCCTAATGCTGCAAAGTTGGGGTGGTTTGCCCAGTTATGGGGAAGTCTGATGGATAAATAGCTGCCATGGCTTTCGCTGCAGACTGTTTCCCAGGAAAGCAGGTAACTCACACTACAGCTCAGCTGACATGGCCTTTGGATGTGAGAACATCCAGGGAATGTATATTCCTTTATAGGGATGGGAGGAACAAACAGGTTGTCAGTGGTGAAAACAGAGGTAGTGCAGCTTAACTGCAGCTTAATACTGCATACTGTTCCCTGATTTGTGTGCCTGTAACCCTAGTGAGCAGCTGAGCCTAAGCTGTTTCCTTGCCTTTGCAATGGGTTAAGGCGAATGCAGTGCACGAATGCAGCTGGTGCTGTGATTGCTTGATTTGTGTATGAGCATGAGGTTGCATATAGAAGGCAACCTTCAAAGTAACTGTTATTTAAAAGCCAGTTGTTGTATTGCAACAGCTATCCATAGATAGGCTGAGGTGGGGTCGCTGGAGCATGTTTGGGTTGCACTGTCCTAACCTCTTAGCTTAATTTGACTTGCATGTTGAGCAGCCACGGAAGGCTGTTTGCTATCAGACTTCTGTTTCATGCTTTGTCAAGCAACACATGGCTTCGTTTTTCTGTTAGGGCAAACTTGTTCTTGTTTATACTTGGGCAAAATGTGAGTGGATATTCAATTTTACAGGTGTGTTTGTTTAAACACCAGCATAGTGTTGCGCCTTGTAGAAGGGTGAAGGGGAAGAAGGGTGATAACTTTATCTCTACTAATTGTCCTCCCCAGGTTATCTCTTTGGCCTTGGTTGCAGTGCTGTTTTTGGCAAGCACCGGCAGGAACAGTGTGCAGATTGTTCTAATTTGTGCTGGGGACTCTGCGTGTCTCTACGAATGAGGTGCATCTTTGAACACTCCCTCTACTGAACTGAGTGCTTCTGGTTTGCATTTCTTCAAGTATGTGGGACCAGGACTGAACCTACGAAGTAAGTGCACATGTATTTGTAATAGTCATGAATCTTTAATTCTTAAAATATTCTGGTATCTCAGATTGATATTGCAAATAGAAAACTCACTCTGCCGTTTAAGTAGCATGGCGATGTTGGGTGGGCTTTGCTAGGTCTTGTAGTGTATTCATTGCCAGCCTCAAGTCTGCCAAGGTAAGTTAAAGTGCTTTGGAGATGAGATGCGTTTGCTTGGGCAGTTCAACAAGCAGTCGTTATGCTACTTGCAGCTCGTTGGCGCTAAGCAGAGTGTAACCTATCCTCAACCCCTTCCTTGAGCCACTGCTGTGCTTAGCATAGGCTGGAAAAGGAAGAGAACCTATCCTAAAATATTTTCTTGAAAGATTAGCCATTGTGATTGCTGAGTTAAATCCTCCTTTTGAGTTACCATGGGCTTTTGGTCTGGTAGACATCCTGCATCTTTTCCAATGAAAGACTGGAATGAGTCCAAGGAAGCTCCTCTGTTCTGTTGCCTAATTAATAATACATCTCTTGAGGAGGGGGGGAAATCAATGCATATTTAACTGATAAGCTAGAGTAGCTTCAAAAGCAGCATTTCAGTCCATGAGCTGCATAATACAGCACTGCCTTACTGTCAAAATCCTAACTAGAATAAAACTTTGAATGTACAAGTATGCGTTATGTTTCTAAAGTACTTGAATGGTTATTGCTTTGACTTTTTGTGACTTTTCTCTTGGAGAGAAAGAATGGAAAATACAAAGTGGAGCAGCTTAGTAAGCTAAGCAAACTAGCTGAGGTAAAAAACTCCCTCGTTACCTTCCTAAAAGGGATTTGTTGCTAAGATGAAATCTGCACCAGTGTGCTTAAGTTGTAAAGCCACTACCCAGTGTTATCTGCTGCTTGAACAGCTGTTAGTCAACAAGCTGCTCTGGAAAGTGGCTTTTGTGACCAACCCCCTCCAAGGAATGCAGGGCAAAATGGGTGTAAAAATAGGACATACAGACTGCTACTATTAAGAAAGTAAATGACGTAATGAGGGGTCCTAGAGTGAGCATGGCAGAAAGACAAAGTCTTTGTTGACAAATCTCTTCCTGCTTCTTTCATGAGAGGGGAAAAGCCTTTCCATTACTCCTGTTTTGCTAAGGAAATGTGCTTTCAATTATAGAGGTTTCCCTTATGTTTGTAGAAGAGCCTTTTCTAGAGGGGCAGGATAGGCCTGGACTATCTCTTCCCCAGCTCTGCTGCAGCCCTGGATGGTGCTTTTGGCAGACTTGGTGCTCTCTGTGCATCTCCCACAACTTTATCCCCAGAAGTAACTCAGAAGCTCCTAGACCATAGGGGACCTCCCACTCTCCAGAGTTTTCACCATATTTAGTGTGTAGCAGTTGTGGGGGGAACCCTAAACAATTATTTGCTCTGATGCTGAAGAGTTAACTTGAGGAGTAAATTATAAACAGGTGAGCAGAACCAGGTACCCTAGGTTGCAAAGTTGCATTAGGGATTTCAGGCTTGAGGTGCTGAAATCAAAATACATGTCTTGCAACACAAACAGGGATTGCTTTGATTAAAGCTGAGGCTGTAATTTAATTTGCATGGGATCTAGATGAATGGCCTGCTTCATCAAAACAGATTGCATTATAAATAGGTTCATAGAGAAATTGTGTATTGCTGAGTGAAGGAGCTCAGTTCATGGGCTCAGAGATGGAACCTAGTTCTAACCTGTAGCAGGAGTGTGTAGGACATGATGCAGGCAATTTTTCATCTTCTAGACTTCAATCCCTGGCTTTGAAGACTTGCAGACATTTCAGCTCTAATATTTTTGCTTGGGGGCAGAGGTGGTGGAGGGACACTTGCACACTAAACTAGATGTGTACAAGACCATGAGACTTCTGCACCTCTAAAGCAGGGCAACTGCTTTGATTCACAGCTGAAGCACTCATGATCTATCATAAGTCAGTTTTAGCCATAATTAGTGGTCTAAACTCGAAATAATCTTGAGATTATTTGAAATGGAGTATATTCAATGTTCATGGAAAAAATGGTTTAATAAACTCTAGAAGTTCTTTCTAAGGATCAGAAAGATTTATCAGTGGAGTTCAAATTGTAGATGCTCAGGATTGTAGATGTTCAAAATATACATTGGACTGGAATGAATAGGAAGAAATATGTTTATTTAAGTCATTGCAAGCTTTTTTAATTACTTATGCAACTTGCCACAAGTGGAGATGATTCTTATTGAAAAGATACTAAATCTTCTTACCATGATGAACTAAATTTAGGAAGGCTGAAGGTTCTGTTTATCAGTAATCTAGTTCATGGGAACCCTCTGGCTACATTAAATGTGAGAATTAATTTAGCCAGTCATATATTTAAATAACAATGACTCAAAGCTTTGCCAGTAAATGGCTGGGAGGAGTTCTCTCATTTAAGTTCTCCAGAATGGTGGTTAAGCTCTTAAATTGTTGCCTAGATATCTCCCAGGTTGGGTATAAAGCTGTGTTAATTAAATGTTTATCACCTCTGCAAAAACAAATTTTTTTCAAGTGGATGGCTTGAAAGATTTAAAAATCTCTGCATTTCAAGGACACTTTGGACGGATGTATCTTGGCTAACATGCTGCTTAGCACATTTGTGATGTGCTTAATCTGTGTTGCCCTTCCTAGCTGGATTCCAAGCAGAATAATGGAATCTACCCCAACCTTTGTGCAGATTCCCAGCTAATTAGAGATGATAATTGCTATGGGAGGAAATGAATAGCTCTGGATATAAAATAAGATTTGTATTGCGGATCAGTCCTAGTTTGCTAAGGTATGTTGGAAACCATTTTTTTAGTCATTAAATCCAGTTCCTGATCTTTGAACAACTGCATAAAAGAATCATGGTTAAAATCTGGAATGATGTTATAGAGGTCATGCAATTCATCCATCAGCCTTAAGGCAGGATCAACTATATATTCATCCTGACAGATATTTATTCAATGTGTTCTGAAAGATCTCTAATAGTAGAGACACTCTTGGCTAATCTATTCTGCTTCCTCATTCTTGCTGATAGCAAGATTTTTTTTTCTTAATATTTACCCCGAATCTTTCCTCTTGCAATTAATCAAGAAAAGCAAGTAACCTGTCTAATCCATCACGGGTATGCAAAAAGTTTTTCTACTCTGTGTATATGAAGACTTTGAGCTTCTGCCAGGAGTCTTTTATTTTGGATATATGACTCTAAAACTTAATGTTCCTTTTTATTTTTTTTTGTGTAGAATTCTGTTTGTTCTCCTTGCCTTCGTGTTACTCTCTGCAGTTAGTTGATCTCTCTCTTGATCTAGAAGAATTTTCTCAAGTGTTTAAAATCATCTGTTTTTGATTCAGTAATCCAAATTTAAAGTACACAAATAGTATTACACTTTTCTCCTCTAACAAGGAGATTAGTCTTTCATAGTGACAAAAGTCCTGGGTAAAACTAAAACTAATAACTTTACCTGTGAATATTCTCCAGAATATTCTCCAATGTTCTAGTTACGAGTGCTTGCTTTATTTTTGTTCTTCTTAACACATTCCAGGTTTCTCGGTCTGCAAGCACTTTCTTGTAGAAGACACTCAATCATTCTCACTTGCAAATACTCCATGGCATAACAACATATTTCATGATGAATGACAGTTGCTGCTGGCTTTGCCACATGCAATTCTTGCAGAGCTGTCTCTCTGCCTGCACTTATTTACTGCCTTTTGTTGCTTTCAACTCATCAGGGGAGGAATATAATCGGATAATATTTGAAATTACTATCTTGGAATATGAAAATGAGGTAGTCATTGCCTTAGATTAGCATTCCAAAGATAAGTAGATAGGGGAAATAATCTGCACTCATTTCTGTGCAGCAGTTCAGGGTTCTGGGGAATCAGCTCTCACATGAAGCAACTTTGAGGAAGCAAGACTCAGTTCAAGTGGGAGAATAAAGCTCCAACGGTGGTATCTGGGGTGACTAGTCGTTTGCAGTTGAGATATACATGTATTTCCCTCCCCCCCCCCCCCCCCAAAAAAAAAAAAAAGGGGGCAACAAGGGGATTTGGGTAAAACTTAAGAATTAGAAAGGACTGCCAGGATCATTGAACCTGGTCCACATCCCCCCTGTTTCTCATCCACAGGCCTCACCGCATGCCTAGTGGGGGTGCATTAACACACTTGAAACCTTTAGCAGGAAAGCAGAAAGAAAAAATCACCATGTGCCGGAGGGCAAGCAAGGAATGCCAAGCTATTGCTGATGTCTTGAACTCCTGAATTAGCTGCAAATCTGCAAAGTCAGCCAAAAGCTCAGGAACTGGTTGCTTTCCCAACTCCAAAACCTCCCCCAATCTGTCCATTAAGGGTAATTCCTTCCATGAGCAGTCAATTTAAACTCTGGAGTGAAATGTGCTAAGCAAATCCCTGAAAGATACTTGCCTTGCATTTGAGTTTCTAAATGCCTTATGCATTGGGTTTAAAGTGAAAGGAAATACTTTGGAAGGTTTTTGTCGAAATTGCTCCTGTCACAGAGCCAAAAATAAACTTTCCTGCACTGCAGTTGCTGAAAGAAATGACCATCAGAGTTATGGTTGAATTAATTTTACTTTATTACATAGGTCATAGGTGTTTTTTTTGAGCAACTTTGTTCTTCAGTATGTAGAATGCCTGTCTGGGGCTTCTCCTAGAAAAGGTTGTCACTTCCGAGCAGGGCTTGAGCTTTCAGCAATTTCCCTTCTGGTAGGGCTGTACAAAGGGGGACAGCGGGATCTGATTAAATGTGTTCCAAACATCCAGAAAGCAACAAACGCTTTCTAATAAAGCAAAGGAGATAGAATTCCTAGGGATATGTTAGTCTAAGTTCAACACGTAAAAATCATGCTGCTGCCCTGTTTGGCTTCATCTCTAGGTAGGCGCGTGGGCCTGAGAGCACTGCAATTGGTAAAACCTTGACTAATTTTTTTGTAGGATTGTGGAGCTTCCAAAATTGCTTCAGGACTATCCAAGCCGACTTTATGAAGCATTGAAGTTTTGTGTCGCTCTGTGGGCTGTGCAGAATCAGAGGCTAACTTCAGCAGGGTTTGCTTTTTGGTAAGTAAGTGGAGCTATAATAACTTTTGAGGTCTATGAATTATTTCAATTATTTCCTGTTGCAAAAATTTTTATACATCATCCTTCCTTTCTCATATTATTAACTTTCTTGTCGAAGTTTTATTCAACCTGCAGAGACAAAGATGGATCTTTCCCCTGTAGATCTACAGTTAGATTTACTTCTTTGACCCAGTTTAGGGCGATTGAAAGCTAATCTGTCTCTTTTATAGAGGCTCTTGATAAAGCATATATTTCTTCTGTTTCTCTCTCTCATTTGACATTGTCTTGTGAAAGTGTGCAACTTCCAACTGAAAAAAAAAAAAATTCTCCTGTGGCAAGGAGAAAAATGACCACTCTTAATCCAGTCCAAGGGAAGTTTTATATCTTTAATTAGCTTCTTGGATTGTGCTCATGTGTGATTCAAATAAAGTGAACTGTGAGCTCTTAGTCATAAAGGTACCATGAGCTATTGCCCATAAATGTAGCATGGTCATCTGTGACCTTACGGAGAAGAATGTTAAAGCCAAAAAGCTTTTCTGAATCCACATCAGCGACAGCTTCAGAGCTAACTTTTTGTTATGAAGTACATGTGTAGTGCCCTCCCCTGCAATCAGCTTGCTCTCCAAGGGCAGAATTTGGCCTGTGGATTGTTAACTTCTAAGAATGACATTTTAATACTAATAAGTTCTGCTTTAAAATGATATAATTAGTCCTCGCAGGGCTGTAATCCTAGATTATGTATTTCCAAACATTGTTAAAGTTGTTTACTGTTGTTAACGTTTTTAAGCACACATGATAGTTTGTGTGTTATGTAACAACTGTAAAGCTAAAATTGTTCATTATGGAGGTGGTTGTTGCTCTTGCTTTACTTGGTGTATTATAGTGTGATCATTCATAGTGTTATGTTGGTTACGGAAGATCCCACCCTGCATATGCATCTTTCTCATTTCTTCATGAAGAGTTGGATCAGGCTTTACTGATCCAGGGTCTGGGTTTGTTTCTTTGCAGCAACCCCAGATTGTCATTGTTCCCTTCTCCCCCAGTACATACTGTCCTCGTAACATCTCCAGCAAGCTCCTGATCCCTTACCGCAGGACTAATTCAAACACATGGTGCCGTATTTAATGTTTTGCTAATTGCAAAGTGTTTGCAGAGCTGCAGATGGGGAGAACCAATAAAATCTGCACATTTACTACCTGCAGTAGTTAAACTTACTGAGACATCTTGCTACATTTCTGTTAAGTATAGCAATTGTCTGGTTTTTAATGGCTTCCAATATATCAAAGTGCAAAAAACTACTATAGTCACTCTTTGCTAGTCTTCAAGGATGAAATACTATCTAATTGGCATGTAAGGCACAGTCTCAGGTGCCCTGTAGAGTGCATGTTGTATGGAAGGGTATCCAGAGTAGTGATCATGTTCTCTGTGTGAGCAACAGAAGATGTGACTCCGTACTGCTGGTTTTGTGGCAGCCTGGCTATGAAAGAGGATCTAGAAAGGCTGGATGAGAGTAGATTGAGTTATATTGCTTGTCATGGCCTATGGATGAGCCTAATTTGTGCCTGAGATGATCAGTGAGGCTACCATGCCTGTGTGCAGATGGGATTGTAAAACCTGCAGAAAGGTCTTTTTGTTCTAAGTGTAAGAAAGAGATGGGTGAGTACAGATTGGGGAGATTTAAAAAATAGCAGTGCAGCCCTGAGTATGTCAATACAACTTGACACGAAAGGCTTCTAAAACTGACCCAGTTGCAGACAGTTTGGGAAGCAAACTTCATTTCAGCTTTGATTTGCTGCTTTTGGGAAGAAGGGAACTCTTACCTCAGTGTGTGTTAATCTGAAGCAATATATGCATGGGCAAACCCTAGTAAAGCCTAGGAAAGACTTTACTGTAATTCCTGTGAATTGGGGTGAATAATGCCTGCTGATTCCTGAGCCTGAGTGACAATGAGTTTCGTTCATGGGTGAAAATGAGGCCTGCCTGTCTGCATAAGGCACTGTGCTCGGGTCACCAGCGGGCTGGTAGGACTTGGCATTGCTTTGACTTTCTCGTTTGGTGGCTCAGAAGTTGTGACACAATGGCAAAAATTAATAATATTTTTTTAAAGGCTGACATAGGAAGAGTAAATAAAGAAAATGAGTGCAGCCAGATACAGCAAGTCTTTGATCATAGATTACAGAGATTTCAGTGCATAAGAATGTGAAGAGTAATGATGTCTTTGAAGAGTTTGTAACACAAGTCCATGTACATCACCAAGAGATAAAGAGGGTAAAGGATCAAGAAATGAGAAGGTAAGATTTCATGCCATTAGTGAAAGATGAGGAATAGAAAGACAAATGACAAATTTCACTGCATAGAATGCAGTGACTTTGATTCTTTATTTTACTATTCTGTTGGCATAACATGATATCATGATTTAAAAGTAGTAGAAGAGAACAAAGGTGCAAAACTAGTAAGTGTGCCTTGCAAAGCATGAGGAAATGGTGGTAATTGTTTCCAAAGTGAAAAGGAATCAAGAAGAGCTATTAAAGCATGAATGCAAATAGAGTGAGTTGTGAATCAAAGGAAGCTGGAATCAGACTGTGTTGCAAGAAAGCAAGTAAAATAAGTGGGAATGTTGCTCTCTCTCTACTAAGGCTCTTTTTCCTCTAGAGTGCTAATACAAGGGCCAGTTTCCTGTATTTGCAGGCATGGGCTGTCAGTGTGAGCATTACTTGACCATATACCTGCTAGGACTGTTGTTGGCAGGTGTGTAGGGAATGGGGAGCTCCTGTTTTTTTCATTTTTCTGGAAAAAGTGAGCTGCAGCACAAGCCAGGGCAGGTTACAGCCCTAGCTTAGCTTCCAGAGCCCTTGCTCACCCTTAGCCTTCTCCCCATAACACTGCCTTCTGTGCTATAAGGTTTCAAGCCATTTAGTTACCTATGCTTATGTTTCTTTCTGCTGCCTTTGAAGTTGGCAAATGCAACAAAATAGTGCAGGTTGTCTACCAACTGCTTCCATTACCTCAGCACACTCTTAATCCCCTGTTTTAGTTGTTTTAAATGATACTACCCTGTGGAGACTGTGCCCAGAAGGTTTTTGAGCGGTGATAAGGGGCTCTGCTACCCTTTATGGTGTTTTGTGTTTAAAAAAGTATTCACTCTTCAGTTTTTCCACAGTAGGGATTTTCTTCTCTCTGGGGCTAACTTGTAAAATGAGATTTGGTGAATTTTGCCTGACTATTGCCACTTCTAATCTCCTCTCTGAAGAGCTTTAGCACTTCTGTTTGATCCATGCAATAGAGGAGGAAGTCTTTAGAAACAAAACAAAAAGCTATTAATCGTTGATGGAATCAATAGAGTTAATCCAAACCTTCTGCTGAATTTTTAGAAGTGCCTCTAAGACACAATTCGTGCTGAAAAGGCACGAGTACCCTTGTGCTGTCCTGAGGGGTGAAATGGGCCGGGCCGTGGCTGCCTCAGGTGCTGGTTCCTCCTGGCCAGTGTCATGCGGGGGCTCTGTTCAGTTCAGATCCACATGTGAGGTGGGAGAGCACTCCAGGTTTGAGCAATGCAGGTCTGGGGGCATGGTCTGACCCCAGTGAATGTCCTTGGCCCTGCTGAGGGAGGACACGATGTGAAGGAGCGTGGGGCTGAGCATGTGGAGCGCCCCAGGCTGTGCGGTCGCACAGGGTGCTCCACGTGCTCAGTCCCACACTCCTCCCCCTCACAACTTTCCTCAGCAGGGCCCAGGACCCATCCAGTACATGGGCAGAGGAGGCTTTACCTTGTGGAGACTGGGAACATGCCAGGGTATCTGGGAACATCTCGAACGTAGCTCTAAGGGGGCATCCCGGTGGGCTTGAATTTCCAGAGTGTGGAACTGAGGCCTCAACAAACGAGTAGCCTTAATTACTACAACTCCTATTTCCAGGTGCTAGATATTAACAGCAGAATATAGTTATGGGAGCCATTCTTTGTAATTGTTAGCAACTCGGGGACTATGTATGGTTTAGCTGTAGACTTTGAATTAAAGCACTCGTGAAATGCCATCTGCTTGCTGTATTGTATGTTCTGAACCTGCAGGCAGCTCATGTTGCTGCTTCTCAGATTTATCTTGTAGGTTGCATGGAGTTTTTCATGCCTTTTTTTCCCCCTCTTCCAACAGCTTTTTTTTAACTTTATATTCTTGCTTTCAGCTTTGGTCCTGGTTGTGCTAAATGCAGCCATTAAAAGTATGTGGCTGAGACATTGCCTTCTGCTCTGTCCAGCTTGCTTTAATAACCATTTCCCAGAGATTTTTGAATAGAAAGTGTAAGAAGTTTTTATGAAGTGGGACATATGAACATAAATTAGTATCTCATGTTCAGAATTTATTCCTAAGTAATACCCATACAAGTGTGCTACACTGCATTAGCACATATGTTTTGGGAATTTGCCTGTGTACTTCCTATGATCTGCATCTGCTGCTGCCCTGGTACGTGCGAGTGCTGAGGTGCTGCACGCAGAGCGCTGAGGTGCAGCTACCTCAGCAGAGGGAGCTCTGGGGAGATGCAACAGCAGAGAAGGAAACCTAGTTTATTTGCAGTAATCTTCTGCTAGCCTGTGCAAAAATTTCGCTAGTATTAATTTACTTGAAAGTGAATTTGTTACTAGTCCCTTAGGTAGCAGGCGGTAAACCTGGCACCAAAGGAGAGAGCCCAGCTTTCCATTTGCTGTCAGTTTGCTGCTGTCCTGCTGCTTCTGACTGCAGATTCCAAGCAACTCCCCAAGGTGGGCTGGCCCAGCTGCCAGGCCAAGGTCCATGCAAAGTGCTGGGTAGGAGAGGAGGGAGAGCAGAAACGCTGCATTCCGGGGTGTAACCCTGCGTGCAGGGGATGCTGTGCTGCTGGAGCCCCTCCACCCCACAGACAGGACGGGGTGCAGTTCTGGCAAACCTGGACTTCCTGTGGTGAGAAAGTCCATCGGGATCTCTTGGCCAACATGCACATGGTTATTAGCGTAGATGGACTGTTTTTTA